AAAAAAAAAAAAAAAACTTTAATTCCCTATTTAAATAGCTTTAAATTTATAGTTTTCTTTAGTATTTTTTTATCTTTCTTAATATTCTATATAAAATTTAAAGTTTTTGTTTATTTGGCATTGGCGGTAGGTTTTTACCTTTCGTGATTGAATTTATAATTGTTTTTTTTTGTGTGTTAAATCAATATAAGTTAAATTTCAAATTTTAAAAGAAATATTCTTATATTTTTTTATAATATTAGTGTTTATTAACATAAATTCCAAAAAATTAAAAGGAAAAATATTTCAAAATTATGTTGTTTCAATAAAACCAAAATACTTTCGTTCTTAGTTTAAAAATATGTTATTTTTATCTTTTTCAATGTAAATTTATTGAAATAATATAATCTTTTAGTGTTTTCCTTCTTTATTTTAGAGATATGGCTATCAAACATGTTTCTTTTTTTTTTTTTTCAATTGATTTTGTCATATTTTGTTTTTTATTTTGATAAATACATTTATATTTTTTTAAAGAATATATCAATGAAAAAGACTAATAAAAAATGATTTTGAAAAAAAATAAATTAGTGTCTTGCAAAATACTTAAAAGCTCAAATTATTGTTAATCCAGTTTCCTGGCTCCGTCTCAGTTTGCACCTCATCACCATACACATAACATAGAAGAACACAGCAAGTATGGTCCAGGAAATCAGTGAGGGATTGCTGCATTAAAATGCTAATCCACATCACATGAGCACCTTCGAAGCAGCTTGCAACTATCACTGCAGCCTTGAAAAGCAAAGGCCAAGCTACTTCCTTAAAAGTATGAACTCCATAACAGCAATCTCTAAAGCATCCAGCCCTGAAGTGAAGAAGTTCTGCCAGCTACAACAGAAAAACCCTCCAATCCATGACCTAGGGGAGATTACCCCCCAGAGTTTCACACCGAAAAGTAGCCAACCTATAATAGTTTCCCAATTAAAACCAGCCACACAGACATCAACAAGAACTGAACATTTTTTTTTTTTTTTTTGTAAATTTCCACTTTTGACATAGAGCAATAGAGATGGCAACGGGGCCTCGCGGGGTCAAGGACCCCCTTCCCATCCCCGTTTCCGCGATTCACGGAGACGGGGATCCCTACGGGCGTGGGAATTTTTGACGGGGGGCAGATTTTGCCCACGTCCTCGTTCCTTGCCAAATATCAAATTCTAATCTATCTTTTACAAAGCAAATGGCTTTCAGTAGCAGCAGAGCAGAAGGGTTCGTGAGCAGTAGCCAGTATAGTGAGCAGCAGCAGAGCAGAAGGGTTCATGAAGAGCAGAAGGACTTGTGAGTACCAGCAGAGCAGAGCAGATTCGTGAGCAACAGACCAGAGGTAGAAACTAAGATCTAAGAAGGTGAGAGTGAGAGTGATTAGAATGGAGAAATGAATTAGGGTTACGGTTAAACTTAGGGGAATGAGTTGGGTTGGGCTTGGTTAAATTGGATTAGATTGGGTTTGGTTAAGTTGGATTGGGTTGGGTTGGGTTGGGTTGAATAGTATTGGATAAGTTTAATTTTAATTGGTTTGGATTTTGGTTTAAATTTGAAGAGTAAATTAAATTTAAAATAATTTTTTTGGCGAGGATGGGGATCCCCACGGGGTAGGGAAAATTCCTCAGGAAATTTTGCAGGGAGACAATGTCCTCGGTCCCCACGGGAGAATATTCTCCCCACCCCGTCCCCGTGGTGGGGATCCTCGTGGGCCCCATGAAGACCAGGGGAAATTGCCACCCTTACAGAGCAACATACTTTCGATTTTTAGTAAAAAGATGGCACACAAACAAGAGAATATAGAGAGGAACAAAACAAACTATTTTCGGAAATACCCTCTCAACTTCAAAACCACTAAAACCCTTATCCAAATAATTGCCATCCTTGAATAAACCATACTTCGGCAAACCATTATCAAGCATATTACCATTCCTAACAACTACCATAAACTTTCCATTCTTGAATTCCATTAGTGTAAGATAACTT